ACTACATACATACATACATACATACATACAATAATACATACATACATACATATATATATATATATATATATATATATAAATATATATATATATATATATATATATACTTGAATATATTACCAGTATATATGAATACATATATGGTCCTATAACTTTCAAGTATATCAAAATATAGTGGTGCTTACTCGTCCATTCGCTCGTGTGTTGTGTGTGCTTCTCGCATGCTTTGCCACATTCGCACGCTCTCAACACTCAGTGGAGTATTGGTGTGTGTGAGGCATGTACTGTTCTGAATCAAGACCAGATTTCGCATTGTGTGCCGTGATAGATATCGTAGTAAGTGAGTACGAACGGTACATAGACTTTCGAATCAAAGCGATCCAACATCTCTAATATGTTGAATATGAAATTAGTGCATATGTAATGTACCTACATATAAAATATATATCTACAAACATAATAAATACCTGTATGTATGTGACTATCTTACATATGGAATATGCCTACATATGTGTGATTACTCTACATATGAAATATGCCTACATATGAAATATATACCTACATGTATGTGATATAAACCTCCACATGCAATACACCCCCATTTGTAATATATTCCTACATGTATGTGATATACCCATACCTACATACTAGACAATCCCATCCACATCATAACACTCCAAGACAATCCCACCCACATCACTAGACTCTATAATGTACCCATCTATTCCCGTACCTGGTGGCGACGGCTTCGCACCGTCACATCGGCAAAGGGCAGGTCATCGTCCTTGTGCTTGTGATTCCGAGGCAATTGGTCGCCCGTGGCCTTCAGCATAATGTACTCACCCTCGTCCCGCTGATCTCGCAGCAGCAGCGCCTGTGTGCGGATGTGGCGGATGATGCTTTCGCGGATCATGGGATCGGTCACGTCTGTGTAGACGAGCTTGTGCAGGTTGTGGTATGTGCCGGTGTTGTCCAGGAGCAGCTTCATGAGGTTCAGTTGGATGCCTTCGGAGTGGCAGATGATATGCCTGGCCCATTCCTGGCCTCTTGGGTGCGCGCGGATGGTTTCGGATACTTGTAGGGCATTCAGTACAGCCGCACGGGCGGGTGGGTCTAAAGCGTGTAGTCGTTCTACACACAGAACATCCAAGAGCGCTTCCTGCAAAGATGTGGCACAAGGAAGGCGTGAGCATATGTCTAAACAGATACATGTAGATATGAATATAGATATGCATGCAACACAGACACAGACTAGGATTGACAAAGCAGGCCTTATAGAGAGTGGTCATGTCAGGCGTCAACCATTACAAACCCCGCACATACACATCCAATACTTCTTACATAACATGTCAAAATTCGAACTTATCACTCACTCACTCTCTCACTCTCTCACTCTCTCCCTCTCTCCTCCTCTCCCTCCTCTCCCTCCTATACACACACACACACACACACACACACATGCCTTGTGCTTCTTATCCGAAAAGCGGTAGTGGTCGCGCACATTGAAGATCAACTGACTAAAGTTGAGATGGGTGATGATCCGACTCAGATCCGATCGGGGGACCGTGCGCATGCGCTCGATGATCTTGATCTCGCTGTCTATGATGTCCTTGTTGCTCAGAGCTCTCGTAGTAGTGGGTGCGATGTTGTATTGCAGTCGCTTGGCTAAGGCTGTGATATCCTGCGAGGCGCGTACGGCCAGTTGCGACGGGCGACGCTCGGCCTCTCCGTGGGCTGCGTGGTCGATGAACGGGAGATTGAAGAGGCCCATCAAGTTCTCTCCGATCTGGATTCAGGATATGTTTCAGGGGTTTAGGAAATATTGACCCGAAATGCTGGTCATGGCGTCCTGAAAAGGAACATGTACGATTTATAGGAGGCTGTGGATTGTTGGTCTAGTTTTGGGGTTAGCAATGTATGATGTTAAGGGTTCAGGGTATTGAATAGAAGGAAAAGAGAGACTTATTGGCCCAATGACCAGACTTATCCAGACATCAATGTTCGTTTGCAGCTGTCTGAACCTATTACTGCTTGTAGATACGCAACCGTAACAACCCACAACAGCATTGTAACGCAAAACATGAGCTTGCATACATGTCAGATTAAGTACCACCAACACACTAAAATCACTACTAAACGCATCAAGCTCACATAAATCACCGAGATTTGGCACAAAATGTAAACTAAATATAATTAGTAGAATATGAAAATA